CAACCTGAACGAAACCACGGGCAATGAGCTCCTCAGTATATGGAACTTTGAACAAGCCGGCCCCTGTGTCAGAGTGATGAGGCGCCGGACAGCCGTCGCGACGTTTAACCTCCGCTTTGCAACTTCCAAGTGATTGCTTCATCCTAATGTTCAGATTGCTTCATCCTAACGGGAGTTACAACAGAATATTTGGGGCCTCTTTCGAGTGAATCTCCCTGTATATAGAATATACAGCCCATACTGTTACAGTGATGATGTCAGCAGTACATGCTTTCAAAACAAGCTCGGACCCTGTGTGCCGGTAATCTCTCCCCTATTTCAGTACTTATCAGAAACTGAAAGAACAGGCAGTACGTCTGATAATGTGAATGTGTCCAATCACCAGTATGTACAACGGGAGTCACAGCATCGGAAGAAAAACGCATGGTTTACTAAATCAGCTCATCTCAATATTAGATCTCTCACAAACAAGTCTAGATCGGCTTAATTTCACGCTTTTAACAGAAACACGGTTTAATGAATGTAGTGCTGAAACCGTATTAATCAAGTCGGCTCCACCAAACTTTAACTTTAGAAATGTCTCGCATACCGACAAGAAAAGTGGAGGTGTAGCTGCTCCATCTGATGACTCTTTCAAATGCAAGTAATTACCACTGGGTGATTTTACATCCTTCACATATCTTTGTGCAGTTATGAAAGGGGCACCAAGAATATCACTAGTAATTGCACTTCAGCGGCTGGTAGACACTGAGTGTGTTTACATGCCCTTAAAAATCTGATCATAATCAGATTTCTGCAGTTATCTGATTATTCAAATGGTCATGTAACCAACCGCACACCAAGATTTCTTAGATTGGAGTAAGGTCTAGATATCTGATTAAGAAATCAGATGAGGCTGGATTTGAGCTCAGTAATCAGATTTCTCAGTGCTGTAAACTCTTACTCTGATTTCTTTCGGATTTCTCAGTCTGTGCATGTGTGAAAACAGACAGCGGTACCGGAAATAAGCGAGACGTAGCAAAACACTTTTGGAGCGACGCTGAAACCAAATACATGCTTGACGAAATGAAGGATTTAAATATTCTTCATCTTCTAGATGATGTATGTTCATATTTTCAGGTAAAGCGATGCGATGATTTAATTGCATTACATTTACATCACATGTTTTTCTGTGAGTTTATTGGCTGGTTGTAAAGCAGAAATCTGATTTCTGTCTGACTCTGTCTGACTCACGTAAACCCAGAATTTCCCCTATAAGAAATCTTGGTGTGCGGTTGGTTACATGACCATTTGAATAATCAGATAACTGCAGAAATCTGATTACTCAAGAGCATGTAAACACATGGATTGGACTACTGACAAAATCAGATTTTCTGCAGTTATCAGATTATTCAAATGGTCATGTAAACAGCACACTCCAATTTCTTAGACTGGAGTAAGAACCAGAAATTTGATTCAGAAATCAGATAAAAAGAGCTGGATTTTTAGCTCAGTAATCAGATTTCTCACTGCATGTAAACTCTTACTCTGATTTCTTTCGGATTTCTCAGTCTGAGCATGTGCGAAACAGAGCACAGTAGCGGAAATAAGCGAGCAGCGTCGCCGCGAGACGCAGCAAAACACTTTTGGAGCGGCGCTGAAACCAAATACATGCTTGACGAAATGAGAGATCTAAGTATTCTTCATCTTCTAGATGACGTATGTTTATATTTCAGGTAAAGTGGTGCGATGTTTTATAAAAAAAAAGCCACAGCATGAAGTTTGAGTTTTACGTTATGTTTACGTCACCCTAACTTCTGGGAGTTTATTGGCTGGTTGTAAAGCAGAAATCTGATTACTGTCTGACTCATGCAGACCTGGAGTTTCCCCATTATCTGATTACTCAAGTGCATGTAAACGCAATGATTGGATTACCGACAAAATCTGATTTTCTGCAGTTATCGGATTATTAAGTGCATGTAAACACACTTAATTTTGCTCAATGATAATCTCAGTGATAATTATGCCAAGGAACTCTGTACTATACTGGACTCTCTCAGCATGTGACCGTGAGCGCACACTGTCATGGTCACACTCTGGATGTGGTCGTCTCGAAGGGTCTCAACACATCAACCACTGTTAAGGATGCAGCTTAGTCAGATCATCACTGTGTTTTCTTTGAGATGTGGACCCAACAGACGTCAAGACTGGACACATCTGCTTTAGAAAAGGGTTGTAAATGACCCATAACTACACTTCATCACAATGTGCTCTGCACCATGCAAACCATCGGACTCTGTTCACGCTCTGCTGGACAGTTTCAGCTCAGAAATGGTCAGCGTTATGGATGAGATGAGATTCTCCCACTTTTCTTTCTCTCCCTCACTTTCTTCTAAATCTCCCTCTCCTATATATTTATCTCTGTTTACTCTTCCCTTTGTATTCATCTCTCATCTATTTGTTGCCCCCCTTTCTCTTTGTATCTCTCTCTGATACTATTTCTCTCTCTTTAAATCTCTCTTCTATCTCATACTTCCCCCATCCCCCCTCTCTCTCTCTCTCTCTCTCTCTCTCTCTCTCTAAGTTTTGCCAGGTGTGCCCTTGGAGATCTAATCATCTCTTTTTCTCTTTTGGTATTCTGTCTATCCGCCTCCTTCGGAGGAAGAGGTGTGTTTACTCCTCCGCTGGAGCAGGTGCAGCTCTTTATTCGTTCCGCCAGGCAGAAAAAGAAGAATAGGGAAGAAAATAAAAGAGAAAATAAAAAAGGAAACAATGAAGCACGTTATGGCCACAATTAGAGTGGCTCCATGGTGATTAGTGACGGGGGACTGATGACCCAACCACACACACACACACACACACACACACACACACACACACACACACGTTTGTAAGTCACTCAGATCATGCTTATAAAGCTCTCTATAAATGTTCATATGATCCACTCATGATTGGTCAATATTTTATGCTGCTGAGTGCTGATTGGTTGGCATTACTGCTACTGAGTGCTGATTGGTTAGCATTACTGCTACTGAGTGCTGACTGGTTAGCATTACTGCAACTGAGTGCTGACTGGTTAGCATTACTGATACTCAGAGCTGACTGGTTAGCATTACTGCTACTGAGAGCTGATTGGTTAGCATTACTGCTACTGAGAGCTGATTGGTTGACATTACTGCTACTGAGAGCTGATTGGCTGACATTACTGCTACTGAGTGCTGATTGGTCGGCATTACTGCTACTGAGTGCTGATTGGCTGACATTACTGCTACTGAGTGCTGATTGGCTGACATTACTGCTACTGAGTGCTGATTGGTTAGCATTACTGCTACTGAGTGCTGACTGGTTAGCATCACTGCTACTGAGCGCTGATTGGTTGGCATCACTGCTACTGAGAGCTGATTGGTTGGCATTACTGCTACTGAGAGCTGATTGGTTGGCATTACTGCTACTGAGAGCTGATTGGTTATCATAACTGCTACTGAGTGCTGATTGGTTGACATTACTGCTACTGAGTGCTGATTGGCTGACATTACTGCTACTGAGTGCTGACTGGTTAGCATTACTGCAACTGAGTGCTGATTGGTCGGCATTACTGCTACTGAGCGCTGATTGGTCGGCATTACTGCTACTGAGAGCTGATTGGTTGGCATTACTGCTACTGAGAGCTGATTGGTTATCATAACTGCTACTGAGTGCTGATTGGTTGACATTACTGCTACTGAGTGCTGATTGGCTGACATTACTGCTACTGAGTGCTGACTGGTTAGCATTACTGCAACTGAGTGCTGATTGGTCGGCATTACTGCTACTGAGCGCTGATTGGTCGGCATTACTGCTACTGAGTGCTGATTGGCTGACACGGTGTTGAGTAGATAGGCACTCTATTCCACAACAAATGATACGATTTTGCACAAAAGGAAGCCATTCAACTCTGAACGATGGTGGTAAACAGAAGAACCCAAGAAGGCAGAACAGCCAATAGACTAATCATTAGCTGTTATGCCAGGTGAGGACGAGGATGAGGCCGAGGCGGAAAATACACACAAACACCCGCCTCCGATGGCCGAGTCCCTACAGTGTGACATCACAGAGACAGACCTCGTATTCCTCCTTCAGCTGCAGTGAACAGTGACAGTGATGAGGTCTGGCAGAGCTGCGTCACATCACCCACACAATCTCAGGGCGTGACTCACAGGGGGCTTCCAGCATTGCGTACAAACACATCAGCGCCGCCTCACTTTCAGTTTCTGGCCCTCTTCCTTCAGTCGTGAGTATCTGACCTTCATCAGTTCACAGTAACGTAATGACATCGCTTTAAGTTCAGCAGTGCAGAGACTGTTTCATATGAGATAAACAAGCCCATAAACGATCCAGCAAAGCCAATGAAATTCATTTTTAAAGCGTATAGACCAAATCAGATGTTCGTAAAACACGGTAGTTGGCTGTATTTCGCTCAGCCGCTCAGCATGGAAGCAGCTCAGTTTAGGGCACAATTTCCAATAAGTACAAATACAACAGACAAAACATTGGCAGTGACAGTTAAATGGGTCACTCTCCATTTGGATCGGAAAACCATGTCACAAAGGTCGCAGGGCTGAAAAAGAATAGTTTCTTGTAAAACGTCTCTCGACATTCGATTTTCGTGGAACGGATGAATTCGATCGAGAACTGACTTCAGCCTCGCGACTTTTTAGTGTTTGACAGTTTCTCACTGCAGATTAAACGTATCAGGAAACCAGCTGGAGGGATTATAAACGCGAATAAATCCATTCAACTCCAAATTATCGATGTTCGTCTTAAATAAGCGAGATTGTTGTCTGCATTGCTATGGTCACCAGCAGTCAGCGCACCAATCTCCGGTGTTAGAGAACGATCAGCAGAGCTTTATTCTACTGCAAAGTAGGATTATTTTATGTATTTATTTACCAAAAAGCCTAATTCAGCTGTGGAGCCGCAACAGGGCAGTAAAAGAGCCGCATGCAGCTCCAGAGCCGCATGTTGCCGACCCATATTCTCACCTGCATAACGCTCTGACGGAGTCGTGGTCCAGAAACTCATGGTCTCTCCTGACGGAGGCAATGTCAATCGGGAACAAACCAGCTGGAAGACAGAAAGAGAGAGAAAATTCATGAATACTTTGACGATTAATGATTAGAATACGAGGTTTATGAAGCTCATTTTAGAAACGCTTACGGAGAGTGAAGCAGTTCGAGAAAGAGAAAGAGTTAAAAACAGTATCCTGTGTATCAGAGAGAGGAAAAACGAGCAGTGTCCTGTGACAGCTGCTGAAACTCACTCCCTCAGAGCTGTGACCTAAAGCGTGATATTGTTCACATGAGGAACGAGAGGTGTGATACTTCCATGTGCCGCTCGGTGAACATGCTCAAAGCGAAAGCAGCCAGAACAGACAGCTTCCAAAAGACGAGATTAATTACTCTCCTAACGCCCCGCCTCATTACCATAAACGGTAATTAAGTTCAGTTTTCGACAGCTGATCTGGAGGAGAAGACGACAGGGACTTGTGTAAAACCATCAATCATCTCAAGAAGGGAAACCAACAGGGGCTATTTCAGACCTTTACATCAGTGTGTGTGTGTGTGTGTGTGTGTGTGTGTGTGTGTGTGTGTGTGAGAGAGAGAGAGTGTGTGTGTGTGTGTGTGTGTAGGTGGAGGTCAACAGCCTCTAGACATTCCTGAGGTGTTCTACTTCCTGCCTTTGTTTCTACCTCCTTCCCTTCTGAACACTTAGGTTCAGCCACTGACTCCTTCTGATCAAAAAGGTCCAACTAATGAACCCCCAAAAAGAGAAGCACCTCGAACTCCTGCAGGGTGAAGACAGAAGCATAGCATTCATAGATCCCTTAGGCCCAACCACTAAACCCCAGAAAGAGAACCACCTCCACCTCCTGCACCTGCAGGCTGCCAACTAGCATGTACCCCTCTTAGAGCCCTTAGGCCCAACCACTGAACCCCTGAAAGAGAAGCGCCTCCACCTCCTGCACCTGCAGGCTGCTGACTGGCATGCACCCTTTATAGAGCCCTTAGGTCCAACCACTGGTCACCTGAAATAGAAGCACCTCCAAATCCTGCAGGGTGAAGACAGAAGCACAGCATTCATAGATCCCTTAGGTACAACTAATGAAACCCAAAAAGGGAAGCAGCTCCAGCTCCTGCAGGCCAGGGTTTGAGATGCAGCCTTTGTAGAGCCCTTAGATTTAATGAATGGACCCAAAACAGAGGAGCACGTCCAACTCCTGCAGGCAGACATACGGCATTGATAGATCCCTTAGGTCCAATTAATGAGCCCCAAAAAGAGAAGCATCTCCAACTCCTGAGGCTGTGGACAGATATACAGCCTTCATAGAGCCTTGAGGTCCAACAAATTTCTTTCATCCTCCGAACGCTATACAGAAACCCCCATTACAAGCTGTGATTTTCATCAAGCATTAAGGTCCAACTAATGAACCCCCCCCAAAAGAAAAGTACTTCCAATTTCTGCAGGTTGCAGACAGACAGCGCCCAGATCCCTTAGGTCCAACTATTCTTTAAGAACATTTGAAGCTCATACAGAACCCCAGTTACAGGTCACAATCTTCATCAACCCCAAGTCCAACTAATTAACCTAGCCAAAAAGAGCCGCAGCTACTCCTAAACAGTGACACTGCAGATTGCGGCCTTCATGGAGCCGTTAGGTCCAACTACTGAACCCCAAAGAGAGAAGCACCTCTAACTATTGCAGGCAGTAGATTGAAAAGATAGCATTCCGAGAGCCGTTACATCCAACTTCATCCATCAATCCTAGTCCTATTATGTAGACTGTGGCCTTCATAGAGCCCTTAGGTCCAATTAATGAACTCCAAAAGGAGAATCACCTTCAACTTCTGCCATTTTCATTTCTTAAGCTCACTTCCTAAGAACTCGTTTCCGTCTTTTAGCTAATGACAGTCACAAATCACAAGCTAGCTAATATTTCCACTACGCTATTGATAACTGGCTGTGCAGATAGAGTTTCCATGTTTACCTGCCCATGTTTAGAACCTTATAAGCAGCACAAGGTTAACAAAACCCATAATTAATGCCAAATGTACAGCAGAAAGAGAATCACTTGATGTTTAAACTGAAATGTTTAACTTCCAGAACTGTAAATAATACAATTCTAACACACCAAACAATAAGTTTGCAAGAAACACAAAGAATATCAATCTGTTAATTTATTATTAGAGCTTCAATGAACTCTGACAGTCAGGTTACCCACTTTTTTAGGTTTTAAGAACATCAGCCAAGAAAAGCAGGATGTTTCAGCACCATCCAAATCACAGCAGCTCTTTCTGGAAACCCGTGAGTCGTGAGCTCTGCTCTTTCACTGAGAAGTTCTTGTTTTATTGAAAAAGGACCTGAAGTCTTTTCTGAGGTAAGAATTGTTCTGAAATAAATAAAAAACCTTCTCGAATCTGAAGACCTCTTGTTAAAAAAAAAGTCCATCACACCAAAACTCTCCATCGCTCTCCTCAACCCCGCAGGTCACTTCTCTCTCACTCTCCTTTATCTCGCTCTCCTTCTCCTCCTCCCTCTCGTCCTCTGAGCCACTCAGTTTTACTCTCTGCCTCATGAAAATGAATCGGAACAGAAGGGCTTCACACTCAGTAGAACTTCAGCAGATGAACTTCAAGATTATAATTTAGTTTTGCTTTACTAAAATGCACACACACACACACCACACATTGACATACACACATACACACACACACCCACACACACACACACACACCACTGCTGTGTCTGATCCACTCGCACCAGCACAACACACATGCAGCTCTTTTACTGTCCTGTTGTGGCTCCACAGCAGAATCAGATTAGTAGGTAAAAATAAAATAATCCTCCTTTACAGTAAAATAAAGCTCTGCTGATCGTTCAACACAGTTTAACAATAAATGGTCTTAAACTCTGGAGTTAATGTAGAACTGCTAATTCACCCTTTAACCCTGAAGATCAGCGCAGACCGCTGGTCACCATAGCAACACAGACAACAGTCTCACCTAGCTAGTAGCAAACAAAACGGCAAAGAGAGAGATTTAAGACAAACATCGATAATTTAGAGACTAATGGACTTATTTGCGTTTATAATCACTCCAGCTAGTTTCCTGATACGTTTAATCTGCAACGAGAAACTGTCAAACACTAAAAAGTAGTCAGCGCCTCCACCTTAAATGGTGCAGCAGCTACATTCTGGTGTCTCAGGCACCATTTAAGGTGGAACTGGAAAATTTGAACAAGAAGCTGGCGAAAGAGAAGCGACTTCAGCCTCGTAAAAAGTCAAACGTTTAGAGACATTTTACAAGAAACTGATCTACTTTTGAGGAAAAGTTTCCTGCTAGAGATGCGAGAAAAGCATATATATATATATATATATATATATATATATATATATATATATATATATATATATATATATATATATATATACACACAGTACTGTGGAAAAGTCTCAAAGTTTTCAAGGGAAACAGGATGTTTCAGACAAAAGCTGATGAGGGACTGCTGTCCTTTTTCTCTGGAACATCCTTTTTCCCTGGAAACACTGTGTACTACACTGTATTTACGGTCACTCATCTTCAAATATACCCACACATTCGCATACTGCTAACAGAATGTAAAAGACCTGCTGCTTTGTGAAACGAAAAGCTTAAAATAAATATATAATGTTTTCTTATGACTAAACGAGTGTTTTAGGGAACTTTTCTGCTGGTAGAAGCTAAACAGAATCCAAATTAGACATCAGCATATCATACAAGCTGTTACTGATCTCTCAAACAGGAAATGACCATCAAACGTGACCTGGTCAGTGAAGAACATAAGCTATAAGCGAGGAGATAATGGAGGTCCAGCGGCCGAGGAAAGGTTTTACTTTTATCGGCGAAATACGTGACAGCTACTTCCTGCAGTCACAACCGGGTCAATCATCACTGAAGACCTCCTCGCTGACCATCTCAGGTTTATGTAGTGTTGTCAGGAAGTGATGTCATTGTGCCCAGAGGACAGTCTGCTAAATTTCAGGCTTGTATTTTCATTCGTTTCTGAGATATAAAGGCTTTAAAAATCATTTTTCCCATAAAATTAGTGGAAAAGGAAATAATAAGATGGAAATTATGGTGAATTCGCTACTTTTAAATAAATGATGTTAGATCAGCTGTGCATATGTTGCACATCATCCACTGAGGAGAAAAGGCTTTGTGTAGAAGACAACTAGTTCCCATCAGCACCCAACACCACACCTGGTCGCTGTGGTGTCAGCGTCAGCTCACCAGCTCACCTGAAGACCTTCCGTATCTACCTACACTAAGAAAACCTATTGATTTCAGATATTTTCCATTAATAATTTCCAAATCTTTTTCTCTGTAAGCTGCTAAATTGTTGAGCCACTGATTAGAGCTCGATTTGAGCTTCAACACCTGAAAATGAGCCTCAAACTCTACGATAATTTTGGCCAAAGTCTAAAGTTTTGTTTGTTTATTTTTCCTCCTCAAAGCTTAACCGAACATTCATTCATCAACTCAAACACCAGAATTAGTCAGAATGCGAATCCCAACAAGATCCAGAACATTTTCAGGGATTAATCTTTAGTTTTAGGTGTGTTCACCAAAACAGAAGATCCAGATTCATCTCAGCGGTTCCTCCTCACGTTTCTCCTATTGAGTTTTTGTTCCGTTCAGCAGTTCTTGGTTCCTCTCGGTGGTTCTTCCCTCATGGTGTTGGGTTCTTCTTTTGAGTCTTGATTCCTCTGAGTGGTTCTTCCTCATGGTCTTAGGGAACTTTTCCTGTTGAGTCTTGGTTCCTCTTAGTTTCTCTTATTGAGTCTTGGTTCCTCTCAGTGGTTCTTCCTCATGTTCTTAGGCAGTTTCTTCTACTGAGCCTTGGTTCCTCTCGGTGGTTCTTCCTCATGCTCTTAGGGAGTTTCTCCTTTTAAGTCTTGGTTCCTTTTACTGGTTCTTCAACATGCTCTCAGAAATTCTTGGTTCTCTCAGTGGTTCTTCCTCAAGCTTTTTGGGAGTTTCTCCTACTGAGTCTTGGTTCCTTTCACTTGTTCTCCCTCATGCTCTGAGAGAGTTTGGGTTCTCTGAGTGGTTCTTGTGACATGTTCTTAGGGAGTTTCTCTTTTTGAGTCTTGGTCTCTCTCAGTGTGCGAGTGAAGCAGCTCCTCAGGCATTACGAGAGGTTTGGTGTCCATGTTAGGCTAAGGCTAACCCCAAAAGTCCAGCTGTTTCTTTAGGTCAGGTGCCATAAAAACAAAGTGTTCTACTTCAGATGAAGCTGACTGGACAGCAGGAGGTGATGAAGGATCTGTTACGTGACATCTGAAACATCCCTGACTCGGACACTCAGCTAAACGGGATAATGCTAGCGTGGCTAGCACTCTGTACACTGTGTTATCTGAGCTTATTTGTGGTGTACCAGTGTAATGTTTCTGACAAACTCCAGTAAATTTCAACCTGTATACCGTCACTAGAGCTTGAGGCAAGCATGTGATGGCATGCGCGTGCAGTAGGGCTGTACGATTAATCGTATTTTTATTGTAATTGCGATGAACACATTGTTAAAATGGCAACAACAGAACAGATTAAATGACCTCACACGCAGCACCAGTGAGACGTCATCACTTTGTTGGCACAAACTGCTAGAAGTCTAATGAGTGCTTCTCTGCACTAAGATTGAACGCTGCTCTCCCATGCGGTGACGAGTGACTTAACCACTAGGCTAAACAGCCAAACGCACACATCACAGTTCAAGCTCTTCTGAACTACATGCCTTTACAAACACATGAGGACTCTCACAACTACTGTTGTGTTTTAAGTGTGAAAGGCAGTGAGGGCTACTGTCACAACAAACATATTTACATATTTAATACCCAAGCAAAAAGAATTAATTAAATAAACATGTACTCATTTCTGTGTCTACGTAAATTACCTGTTGAGGTAATACTGACACAAAATTTTGTAATTTTGTATTTTGCTGTTCGCTTTTAAGGAGAGATTAGCTAGATTTCTGTTCACACATCCCAAAAAAAAACTCTGTACTTGCATCACATCCAGTCAGAGGTGGACTATTTTAATAATAATTGATCAATTCTCATACCATCATCATGACATCCGTCAGCTTTATCGAACGTCACGTTTAATGTCAGTATCTTACAGCCCTAGCGTGCCATGAGCACCATGCTAACTGGCTAATTCCATTACTTGTTAGCAACATTAGACTCGTAGCTTCATCGCTAAAACTAAAGAGGCCAAACTTTAGACACTCAACATCCTTTAACGGACTTTAACTTTAATTAACTTCACTGTCGAAATTGAAATCTTATTTTTTTACCAAACTTTATCTAGAGCGCATTAGAAAGAGTGTCCTGGTTCTGAAACAAAGCAAAATGCAACAAAAGCAGAGCACAAAAACGGCTCTAAAACGCTACCCACACTGCAGGAAGCTGGAATGGAGTCAGCAAAGCTTATAAAAGTCCTCTCAGAGGAGCTCTTCAGGAACAGCAGTGCACATTACTGAGCCAAGCTCACCGCTGGAGCTCAAACTGACCACGGCCAGAACAAATGTCCATCACGCTAAAGTGAGAAAAGCTGCTGACCAGCAGAGGAAGCACACAGAACTGCTGCAGCACATAAATAACTATAAAATACCCGAAACAGCTCCATCTGATGCCTCTGTTTCACAGCGCAGAACACTGAGATTATCTAAGAATAAGTAAAACATTTCACTTCAGTGCCTTTCAGGAACTCAAGGACGAAGCAGACAGTAGAAAGAGTAAAAATAATAAATAGAAAATACGGAGAAACGCTGCAGCGCTAAAGCATCAGGGCTGAGAATGCTCAAAATCATCTGTACGATCTGATGCTGCGTGACTATTATGATTTTTTTATGATTCTTTGATGCATTCATTTTGTAAACACTGTAGCTGGAAATGTGTTCATGATAGTAGCTAAACAAAATAATTTAAGAGGATAAAATAAGAATAATTTTTTTTTTTAAAAATCTAATTTGTAAAAGAGACTAAATGTTAAGGCAATTTTCAGGCATATTTCTCAGCTGAAGTGTCAATTTTGTGTATTTTTTAACTGAACAATAATGACAACAACGGCAAAAACAATAACAACAACAACAGCAACAATAACGAAGACTAGAACAACTACAACAATGACAAAAACAACAACAAAAACAATGACAACAATAACGATGACAACAATAACGATGACAAACAACAAAAAAAAACATTTTATAACCCATAAAACTATTATAACAAACAGTGGTTCAGCAGCAAAACAACAAAAAAACAACATTTTATAACCAATAAAACTATCAGTATAACAAACACTGGTTAAAGAACAAAAACACCAACAACCACAATTAATAACGTTTAAGCAGCGACACAACTGCAAAAAACAACAACAAAAAAGCGAAGATACTGTCAATGACAACAACTGCAACGGCAACAACATGACATCACCTACAAGCAGCAGTACAACTGAAAAAAAAACAACGAGAAGATGAAGAAGAAGAAGAAGAAGAAGATGAAGAAGAAGAAGATGAACAACAACGACAACAACATTACATAATCAGTGGTACAACTGCAAAAATCAACAGTGGTGATAATAATAACACAGTCAGCACTGATACAGACTGTGCGGCTGCAGGAAGTGAAGAGGAGGATTGTGGGTTTAGTGTGATGTTATTCGGATGCAGGTGGGGGACGCAGAGGGAGAGAAAGAAAGAGAGAGGGAGTGAGAGAGAGAACGGGAGAGAGAGCGGGAGAGAGAGAGAGAGAGCGGGAGAGGGAGGGAGAGAGCGCGAGAGAGAGAGAGAGAGAAATAGAAAACAGAAAAAAATTGAGAGATTGGGAGAGTGAGAGAGAGAGAGAGAGAGAGAGAGAGAGAGACAAAGAGAAAAAAACTAGAGAAAGATAAATGAAGAGGGAGTAAAAGAAAGAGAGCGGTAAGGATGGAGAGGAAGTGTACAGAGAGAAAAATGAGAAAAAGAAAAACATTAAATAAAACATTACATTAAAGAAAACATTAGATAGAGAGAGAGAGAGAGAGAGAGAGATGGAAAGGTAAAGAGATCAAAGGTGAGAGATGAAAGGATGATTAAAGGGCAGCGTGGATGTTAATTATAGCAGGTCAGTGAGTAATCAGCTAATTATGGCCTGTTTTGCTGGTGAGGAATAACGTAATTAATGAAACTTATTGATTACCTTCATAGAGCTGCACATACTGGGGAAACCCTGCTGCTCTCAGCCAATCACACGCCTCCTTCGCCTCCACCTCTGAAATAAAGAGGGAGGAAAAAAACACATTAAAATAAATAAATAAATAAATAAATGGGGGGGTTGTGTCCAAGATACAGATTAAAACGTCACTAAAAACACTTTAATTACTATAATTAAAAACATAAAACATTCACATCACATCTGTAAAGAAACACCAGATGTTTCCCCCATCAACTGACAGTTCAATTAGCCAGTATCATCAAAACGAGCCGTTAGAGTGTAATTAATCACACACATGATCCGGGTTTATAATCAGTGACATCTTAATAAACCAACAAATCTAAACGATTTCAAACATTAATGAAACCCCAGACATGAATAATTCATGAGGTAACTAACGGCTCCGCTATCAGGTTAAAGGGTTCATTAACTCTTCTCGTTATCTGGAATGTTAATTTGTATAATGAATTAAAGAAAATTAGCTATTTATTTGAGGCTAATTAATAACGGTGTGCAGTGTCGTCCTGACATGAAGTTTGCGTGAAACCGTTAATTCGATAATCAGTAGGTTGATCACGGTTCAGTTACTGGTCTCATTAGTCAAACTGTGCATCCCATCCATTAACAGCGCATTTTTACTGCTTCTGAACCTCATTTAGAAAAAAATAAATCATTTCCATCATGAACTTCAGTGAAACATCTCAGTTAGTCATCAGCTTTTTTTTTGCAGCAGATTTAGTTAATTATTTACGCAAAAACATTTAGTCATTTTTCTTTGTGGTTCTGGCTGATTTAGTGATTTATCTTTGCACTTTGGGCCAATTAATGATTTATGTTTGCGCATTTGGCTGATTTAGTGATTTATCTACGTGGTTGTGGCCGATTTATTGATTGATCTTTACATTTTGGACTGATTTAGTCTTCGTGTTTTGGGCCAATATATAGATTTATCATTGTGCTTTAAGCCCACTTAGTTAGTTATCTTTGTGCTTTGAGTCGATTTATTAATCATTGCATTTGGGCCAATTTATTGATCTATCTTTGCATTTTTGACCACTTTAGTGATTTATCTTTGTGCTTTGGGCCGATTTAGTGATTTATCTTTACGCTTTGGACCTATTCAATGATTGATCTTAGGATTTTTGATCGATTAGTGATTTATGTTTGCCCTTTCAGCCAATACATTGATTATCGTTGCGCTTTGGGCTGATTTAATGATTTACCTTTGCGCTTTAGGCTATTTTAGCTATTTATCCTTGTGCTTTGAGTCGATTTATTAATCGTTGCATTTTGGGCCAATTTAGTGATTTATTTTTGCACTTCGGGCCAATTTAATGATTTTTCTTAGAGCTCCAATTTAGTGATCTATCTTTGCATTTTAGGATGATTTAGCAATTTTTCTTTGCGCTTTTGATCAATATATTGATTTATTGTTGTGCTTTGGGCTGATTTAATGATGTCTTTGCACTTTATGCCGAGTTATTTACCTTTGCGCTTTAGTCAGATTTTGTTTTTTTTTTTCTGATCGATTTTTTAATTTGTGTGTTTTAGGCCAATTCAGTGATTTAATTTGATTTAGTTTGAATCAGTGACTTCTTTGCCTGCAGATACTGGAAGCCCACTTAGATTTTTACCAGCCTTTTTCGAAATAAATACAAATTAATTCTACCATGCTATTATTACCGATAACAGTCATAATGATTATAGTAGTACTTAGTGATTTAAGTGACTTTCAGATTTTTTATGATAAACATCATTTGCTGCAGTTTTCTTTTACATTTTTACAAGATCAATATTGAACAATATCAATAAATGAACATACTCTACATTTCAAAGAAAATAAATATTAAATTTAATAATAAAAGAAACCATCAGGATCAGTTATAACCCTCACTTTGTCCTAACAAGCAAAACTGACCTCAGGCCTGTGTAAACTCAGCAGCCCCCTCCACCTCCTGACCTGTTTCCATAGCATCGTTAACGCACAGCACAGGTCATTTCCATACATAACGACACGGAATTATTCACCATCCAGAAACCTCGTTAAAGCACGCGCTAACGAAGGAGCAGAGCAAAGAATATTAATGATGACGGCTAGTGGATCTGACAGAGAGGCGCGTATGGAGAACATGTCAGGAAAACTGGATGAATTAGCATCGGGCCATTCTGTATGAATTAGCATATGGATGGATTTAAACAGCATGAACTCCATCAGGACGTTTTCCATCAGGAAACATTAGAACAGTTCATATTTGTGATACAGAGCGATGTTACATGCATATTTATCACGACACAGAAATCTCTTTAATAAAACAAAAAACAAAAAACAAAAACTGAAGGGGAATCCCACCCAAAAAAGCATTATTTCACACTCAATACAACTGAATGGTTAATTGTACCTGATTAGCCTAACAATCCGGCTTAGATTCACAGTCCTTCTGTTTTCCCTGTGGACTCTCCCTGCCCGTTTACTGACCCCTCAGAAGTCTCCAATGATAAAATCATGCTGTGCTTTATATGAATAGTTTCTGTTTCACTGTTCTACGTGTAGAAACTGTGGAAAGTCCAGATTCTGGGCTTTCAGTCCATAATGGATTAGTGAAGATGAGATGGTAACACTTCCACATGGCTACATGACTCCTATATAAGGTTGTCATGACATCTGACATATCCCTACATAACTGTTCATAAATGCTTATCACAACAAGCACCATTTGTCATTGAGGCTACATTCACATTACCAGGCTGAAGTGGCACAAATCCATTTTTTTGCCATAATGTGACTCAGATCTGACGTTTTCAGGGCTGTGTGGACACAAATCTGATCTTTTCAAATCCGACCTGGTCCTAGATCAGATACGTATCCGATTCGTGGCCATGCGACCTTAATGTGATGCTCAGATCAGAATTCATGTGCTTTTTTCCCACTGCGCCATCATTCAGCGTTACTCTGGCAGCAGCGGCGAACAGAAGTTAAAGCCTGTGAACGGTGGAAAAGCAGCTCATCTCACCTTTTTCTCCTTCGTCTCGCTCTAATAATGAAGCTGAGAGCTGATCAGAGTTAATTATCTTCTCAGCGAAGCTCGTTCTGCTCATTAGTTTGTGCTGATGATGAACGCGATTCATTCATGTGACGTCGCTGAGTAGGATGTGCTCATGAGGGTCATTTCAGGACGCCGGTTCGTCACATTAATGACAGATTTGAATCACTGACCTAAACGAGTGTGAACCATTGAGTCAGAGAGATCGGATTTGAGCAAAAAATTGGATTTGAGCAACGAGGCATGTAATGTGAACGTAGCCAAAGGCTACTTTAGCTGACTTTGATCAAAATTGGCCAATTTAACCTTTATAGCAAATGACGGGTATTGGAATAAACATTTATAAACAGTTATGTAGGGCTATGTCAGTTATCATGACAAGCTTATGTAGGTGTCATGTAGCCTTATGAACAGCACCCTATAGTAAAGTGTTATCGAGTCCACAAACTGAATCTGTAGAGTCGCTCTTTCCATTCCATCTTATCACAAGATCATATGAGACTCACATCCGGAGTTATGAGCCTATGAAGAGGGGCTGAGATACAAGTCATCATCCTCTCACCGTGTGGAACTGGTGGAGTCGTGTGTCCGTCTACATTCTGTGTGAAACTGACCAATGGACATTCAGGAAATCACTAAGGACTGACCATCACGCCGGAAACCCTTCATTCTTCATTCAGTCCACATCGGAGACTCGTGTGAAATGGCGTGCAGAGAGTTTACAGCTGCTGAAGCTGCTGCAGCGGTTTTGGAAAGTAGTGATGAAGAAAACGGAGCATTTTGATATGAAACATATGAGGATCATGTTATATGAAGAGCCTTTAAATGCCGTCAGACCTCAGAGGGGTAATTTAATGAAAAGTGACACTCAAAGCTGTCCATACTGACAGGACATGGACTTCATTACATAACCATGTGATTAATTATGCATTACTGAACATATTTGCATAAGTAAAGGCCTTTAATGAAAAGATAAAAGGGTCCACGTCATGGAGAACTGCACTGTTTTTTAAATAGAAGAGTTTGTTTCAAGATGCACCGTTCACTGTCCAGTCCAGACTGTACTAAATCTCAAGACTCGACTCGGACTCGAACCTCAAAGACTCAACTCGGACTCACACCTCAGAGATTAAGACTTGCACCTCAGAGGCTCAGACTCGCACCTCAGAGGCTCCACTAAGACTCATGCCTCAGAGACTCAAGACTCGACTCTGACTCGAACCTCAGAGACTCAACTCGGACTCATAGCTCAGAGGCTCAGACTTGCACCTCAGAGGCTCCACTAAGACTCACACCTCAGAGGCTCCACTCAGACTCGCACCTCAGAGGCTCCACTCAGACTCACACCTCAGAGGCTCCACTCAGACTCACACCTCAGAGGCTCCACTCAGACTTGCACCTCAGAGGCTCCACTAAGACTCACACCTCGGAGGCTCCACTCAGACTCACACCTCAGAGGCTCCACTCAGACTCACACCTCAGAGGCTCCAGACTCAACTCGGATTCAAACCTCAGAGACTCCAGAATCGACTTGGACTCGAACTTCAGAGACTCAACTTGGACTCGCACCTCAAAGACTCAAGACTTGACTCTGACTCTAACTCGAACCTTAGAGACTCACCACTCGACTCAAACTCGCAGATCTAAAACTCAAACTCGCACCTCAGAGACTCGACTCGGACTCGCACCTCAAAAACTCAAGACTCAATTTAGACTCGAACCTCAGAGACTCAAGATTCGCCTCGGACTCTAACCTCAGAGACTCAGTTTGAACTCACACCTCAGAGGCTCGAGACTAATTTACATGCATCAGCTTTGATGGCACTGCCTACATTATTCTAAGGGATGGAGAGAGGTTGGAAATGGTCATGAACATGGTTTTGTCTAAACAGGTGCCCAGAAAAGCTAGAAGTGAAAAAAGGGAAAAAAATTAATTGTAAATTCTTGATTTTCAGGTGGAATTGCACTTCCACCCGTGGGCTGCCGTATTCAGGAGATGCTAACGAGCCGTGACTG